TGTGTCCATCTTTATGGGGCTGTAGTAGAAGTTCCGTGTCCTGTCGTATGCACCAGCCAGGCTAACAACACAACAGGATGTATCTATGGGGCAGCCAACATGGACGTTTCTTTCGTCCTTTCCTTCTTTCTTTCTTTCTTTCTTCTTTTAATACTAGAGCGCTGTTTCCCTCAACATGTAGAGCTTGCCCCATTTTCCCCTATCACCAGAGACCGGTATGATGTATGATAAAAAGAAAGTAAAATTATGTTTGTGTTTACTTACGTGGGGAAGTAGCTGTGTAGTTCACGCACTTCAACCTCGGCACTAGACGCAGATGAGCTGTCAACCTCACGCCCCTTCCTCTTACATCCTAGGAAGGAGCTCGCGATACGCTTTGGGTGGGAGACTTCATGGGTGCCAGAGTTGGTCTGGAAGCTGTGAGAAGAGAAATATGCTTTGCTGCTACCGGGTATCGACCCCTGGGTCCTCGTCATTCAGTCCGTAACCAAGTCATTGTACCGACGGAAATGTCTTGGTTCGTCGCAGTAACCGTTTCACGTACTTGCACTTATAACGCTTTTGTTATGGTTCATGATACGTAATCAGTTCTCTCGTATGAGGTTCCGTCAGTACTGGCAATGACAAAAAGAGGGCTCCGAGATGCAAAACGTTTTGGAAACTTCCTGAAGGAAGGAGTAAGTCTCGTTCAGAATGCACAGCTCAGAGAACTGAATGAGAAACTTCCAAAATGGACGCTCCACTTTAGGTGTCAACATGATCATATCATCTCTCTCATTTAGATTCATCAGTAGAAAGAAGACCAATAACCTGAAGACGGGAGTAGAACCAACTCCCAAAACATCACGCGTTTCAGCTATAATCAGACAATGTACAGAGCCCATCAGAATACAAATGTGATCGAACTGCCGGAAGGGCACGTATTGCAGTGCTGTCAATATGCAGGCGGAGATGCACCACACCGTGGCTTACGGCACTCATGTGTTGCCCTTGAAGTTGCATTCCTCAGTGGACACTTAAGCGGCTGCTCTCCAAGGTGTGTCCTGCAGCAGACAGTTGCAAGAGAGGGAACGTCTCGGCACAAGAGATGTTTGTTAATGTTCCTAGTGCGACTGTGTACAGGAGGATGAAGGGACTGAGCAGTACAATCCAGTGATATGCGAAACCTCAGGATATACTCAGTCCTGAACCTAACCTGCTCCCTCGCTTAGAATGGTGCTCCTAGCTTCAGCCTGTTTCAGACACAGTTCTTGGGAGAATTTCCTCTACAGCCTATTCTCCTTATTTTGAAAAATAAAAGAAGGCTTATGAGGTTTATGAGATCACCTTTCCGTCTTTGTGTCTTTGTATCCCTTCCCTAACTTTTTCGTTGTCCATGTTGTCCGTGTCATATCAAAGGAAATTAGGCGACTAGTTCTGCCCATAACTTGATGTTTACGTAAAGGAGATGGAGCAGCGAACCAATACAGAAAATTATAAATCCAGCAGCTTGGATCTAACAGTGTTCGGGAATTGTCCTTCTCAAGTCTCAGTCTTGACATCGACTCTCCTGTTTTTCCAGGTTTCTCTCTCTGCGCACATGCTGGGGTAGTACCTTGAATTATGTCAGATCGCTTCCTTCCACATGGTTTGTAGTTCGCTTTCACTGTTCTGCCAGTCAACACTGTACGCCTCTAATTAAATAAACTGTCAATAAATAAATATATAATAAAGAGCTACTCAGATATTTATTCACTTAGTTTTGTTAATGAGATTATATCCAGAAAGGTGAGATGGGCAGGACGTGTAGCGGGTAAAGAAGAAAATATTGATAGGAAAATCTCCAGAGAAGAGAAGATAATATCGGAGAATGTGGTGCAGGTGGAAACATGATACCAGTTATCAATAGTGCTATACATTTGTTGGTGAGGAACTCAGTCCAAACCTCGTTCGGGTTACTGGCTGTGTACGCCAAGGATTTTCAGCGCTTTCCTTAACCTCTTTAGACGTGTTCTGAGAAAATATACATAACAGCTGGTTGCAGCACCCTTCCTTACATATTGTCACCTTATCACCAGTACTCATCGTCTTCCGATAATTGCATTCGATGTTGTGTATCATCTGCAGCTTAACGGCTCTGTTCAATCAGCGGAAGATTTTTTTATTTAAAAAAACATTCATGCATATACAAAAATGGCATAGGCAATGCCATCCGGCCCTTCAGCAGTAGTGTCATCTCGTGGGCAGCCTGGAAATAATTTGATCATGCCTCTTATGAATCAGTCGCTTGAAGAGCAGATGAAGGAAGTGGTCTGAACTGGCTGAGAATGGGGTCCATATCTGACACCAGATATTCAGGAATTGCTTCATTACCTAAAGAACTGCGTGTATGCACTTCTGAAGTGAGACTCAGTTCTGTAGAGTTCATATCTTCCCGTGGTGGTCTCAATGTTCGTGGATGGAGTCACTTCAGGAACTAGTCAGTTTCAAGGTAGTTTCGCAACCAAAGTCATTAACTTCTTCGCTTGGAAATAATTCATACACTGTTCGCAACAGACCTTACTGCTTTGCCTTTTGTCTGGTTTGTTCAATGACGTTGATTTGGCTGCATAGGTTAGCTGTCCTGATATTAGTTTATGTGGGCATGAAATAATATCATGTTACAACTGTTATAACTAATCAGCATTGAAGTGAGAAATAAAACGATATAACATTTTCAGAAATTTTATTACCTGGGCTCCGACAGCTATAAAAAATCTTGAACAGAAGCTGCCGAACATACCTGCGTGTGGAAAGAACCCAAAAAATAAAACCGAAAGGCTACACAGATTAAATACATAACAGTGGGTTTGAAGGACGGCTGGTACGTAAGACTGACAACCTCACCGCCATCTGTGAGCCGATTGTCTAGAAAATGTGGGAGCCTCAACATCTCACAACCTTATGGACCTCGACGGCCTGTTACAGGGATACCTTTCACCTTTTTACGCAGTAGCGTAGTGGTTGAGGGGCTATGCTACAAGCCGGAAGGTCGCGGGTTCAAGTCCCGTTGAGGTCATTGGATTTTTTCAGTTGACCTAGTCCTTCCAACCGCACTAGGCCCTGGGGTTTACTCAGCCTCTAACAGAAATGAGTACCAGGAATTAATGAAATAATTTTCCTGGGGAGTAAAGCGTGGCCGGCGCGTAAGGCTGACAGCCTTACCGCCATCTTTGAGCCGATTGTAGATAGTGTGGGAGCCTCAACGTCTCACAACTCTATGGGCCTTCACAGCCTGGTACAGGGATACCTTTACTTTTTTTTTTACTTTTTTACAGTAGCTCCTTTGCTTATGTATGGGGCGGAAAACTGGGCTCTGAGTGGAGCGGAAAGAAGGGAAAGTGAAAGAGCAGAAATGAGTTCTTAAAGGCGTGCCTGTGGATGTACACTTGCCGGCCATGTACACAATGCAATGCGCAGTGAATTACAAACACGTGCTTCAGTATAAAGAATCCAGGACTACAGAAACAGGTGACATAATCACATCTTAAGAATGTGCTCTCCAAGGCTGACCCAGAAAGTTAAGATTTAGCAACCAGACGGACGAAGAAATGTTGGACGACCGTGAGGACGATGGAAGGATAGTGGTCGAGATGGTAGAGGCTAATAAAAGCCTACGTTGAAGTAGGTGATTATTATGATGAAGAACTGGCAACAGGTACAGCAGCAGAAGCAGAAGCTTCTGAGGCACACGTTTTGAACGTTTTCATTTTTGAGATGTTTATCCATCTTATTTCTGTAGGCATTTCCTGTCTGTCCGTCCAGCCTATATACCCAATATAACCTCGAGATCAATACGCAAATGTTGCTGTGTGGACTGTGCTAGTCACAGCTAGTCACAAAGTTTCTTTCGTACACACGCTTATGGCTCATCTTAGCCAAATGTTGATCAGTCATGTAGCTGTGTGGAAACAGCTCCATTTCAAAGAAGATGCGCTGCAAATTCTCGTGGAAATGAGCCTAATTTCCCACATTACAAATAGTAACTGTACAATCTTGTAATACACCTTTAAAGCTTATATTTACAATTTGTATTTAAGCCTGTTTCCAATTTATTTATATCTAAATTACAGAAACAGTATTCCTCATTTCGTTCACAATTTACAACATTGTTCTTTTTAACCACCTGGCAGAAACCCAGATCTGTAGCTTAAATAGGTTTTCACAAGGTTGTGCTACAGTCTTAAGAACAAACTAGTCTCTGTGTTTGAAGAGAATTGTAGTATTTGTTACTACGCATCTATATATACACATAAACGTGGAGCCCAGAGAGGCCTGTGTACATAGGCTTGTGTATGATTCTCTAAACATTTGTAGCAGGTTGATTCATTATTCAAATATTTTGCTGAATTTTGTTCATTGTCTGGGGTAAATCTGATATACACAACGTTTCGGAAAATGGGTCCTTTTCTGCCATCGGATGCTTAGTGGATACTTGGGCCGCGCCATAGCTCAAGCAGTTAGTCTCTAGCTTCCCACCGCGGCGGCCCGGGTTCGATCCTGGGTCAGGTCAAGCGGGATTTGTGGTGGACAAAGTGGCGCTGGGGCAGGTTTTCTCCGAGTACTTCGGTTTCCCCTGCCAATCCTCATTCCACCAATTGCTCCACAATCACCCTCACCTATCATCTAGGGCTGGTACAATAGGCCAGAAGTGGCCGCAGTATAAGGGACTTAGTCCTACCCCACTAGGAATAAAAAAATAGTTGATCCTTCCCCTTAGAAAGATCTGGTCTTGGTCACTAGATTTAGTCTCTCTCTTTCGTAAACTGCTCAGCTAACTGGGTTCTTGCTTTCCTTTTATCCGATGACCGAAAGTGATCCAGTTTCCGAAAAGTTGTGTGTCCCATGTGCCGAGTGTAGGGGCGTGTAGTGTCTGAGAGTTTCATTTGATACGAACTATAGTGATACAATAATAGATGAATTAAAATTAAACTTTTTTTGAACAGCCGTTGGTCAGTTTCCAGTCTTAACATTTTTTGCAGGGGACGAGATTCTGGCAGTGAATGGGGAGGCCCTTCAAGGGATGTCGCATGCTGAAGCCATCGCAGCTTTCAAGCGTATCCGCTCCGGGCCAGTGGCGCTGCGTCTGGCAAGGAGACACGTGCTCAGGTAAGCCCCAAACATTACCCTGTTATTCTGTTACTTCATGCTTCGTGTAATGCATGTGGGCTATTAAAATGGAAAAAAAATATCTTGAGCCTGCATGCTGACTATATTTGTACTGAAGTCCGGGGTTCGCTTCTCAGCAGAAGTCGAAGGTTACTATGATTGTCGCGTCCGTAATGGTTCCCAAGATTACCCAGACTCATATCCGGGGGATTTGGGTTGGAGATTGAAGTTAACTACCCATCTGCATTTACTGCTGAAGTTAATAATGTTTTGAGCTTTACTTCCAAGGCAATTTGTGCGTTCATGGCTTGGTTTTTAGACACGGAAACACTTTGCCTCCCATTTTAAAATATCGCGGGGTATGTAGTTTTGATTCTGACAGCGTCGTTAAATAACCAACTCAAGAGAAATGTCTACTAATACAAACATTTAGAGAGATTTTGCTGTTCAAATTTACTTGTTTTGCGACTCGTACAGAATTGCAGTTTGCGGTAAGGCATCGCTTGTGCTATGGTTGATACAGTCTTGGGATTCTCAACGGCAGTATTTCAGTTGCGGAAGGCTGGTGACATCAACGGGACTGAGTATATCATCACGAGCGATGGCTAGGCTTGCTGTCCGAGATTAAATTTTAGAACTGACATAGCTCAGTCCATATTGGCTTGGAGCTGGACTCTATTGTTAGGACTTAAGCCGATCACAGTGGCCGCGCGGTATAAGGCATGGACATAAACAAATAATAAGTATAATTATAAAAAACTTTTTCGAACACTTTAGATGAAAAAGTCCAACAGTGATGTTCCTTTAGCAGACGCATTCATTGGTTGCGATGATTCACCTAATTAGCAGTTCGGATAATCGGCATTATCGTGGTGTATATTATATTATATAATTCAACATCGAAATCCTCCAGCGCTTTCAATCCAAGGCTCTCCGATCTATTCTGAACGCACCTTGGTGTATAAACAACAACAGGATCCATGAAGATCTGAATATAGTGCTCAGTGAAATAACAAAATGGAAAAAAATACTTAAGAAAATTAGGAAACGACACAAATGCACTAGCAGTGAATCTACGAGACAATAGCGAAATTANCAATAAGTACTGGCTCGAGAATGAGTTATACCCAGTGGTGTATCTCACATACACTTTATTGTGTTCATTTACGTATCATTTTCATTCTTGTATTTTGGACACAGAGATATTGGGTTTTCGGACTTTATCCATCGTCCTGGTCTTTAAGATAACTAAGAAAAACACGACGTTTCGGAAACTGGATCTGTTTCCGTCCTCAGGTGAAGGAAAACACCTATTCTGTTGGGTCCCTTAGAAAGAGCTAGCCTCAATCACTGGACTCTGTGATCCAGTTTCCGAAACGTCGTGTTTTTCTTAGTTATCTTAATGACCAGGACGATGGATAAAGTCCGAAAACCCAATATCTCTGTGTCCAAAATACAAGAATGAAAATGATACGTAAATGAACACAATAAAGTGTATGTGAGATACACCACTGGGTATAACTCATTCTCGAGCCAGTACTTATTGAAGATATATATTTATTGCAGATTCTGCAGATTGTACATAATAATTGTCTGAAAATTATATTGCATCATTCCCTTAGAGGGGATGAGGAATATTGCGTTAAAATTAAATCATAGCCGAGATTCAAACCATTCATCTCCCAAATGCAACTGGAGAGTTTCACTGCCGCTCGGTTTCGGCCTGCAGAGCCCGAACTGAGCGAGAGGAGTCGCGCTGTGGAATGTGGCACCTGCTTTGCTGTAGCTTTCATCTCATGAAAACGGAACGAACTGTGGCCAATTAATCACGTTTTGTTCTCTTCCATCCAACATTCGTCTCTCTCGTGATAAGAACGAAGCAGACTGCGACCTGTCTGTAGAAACCGTACGTCATGCAGTGTTGAAACTGGATTAAATACGAGATACCGTGTTATTACAACAGCGACTGACAGAAACATCAGCATTGTGATTCCTTCTGAGCAACAAGTGCTAAACGAGCAGGTCCACGAATGTTCTGTTGCTAATTAACTGAACTTGTCTTTGTTCATTCTGTTCCACGTTTTGTGACGGCTGATGGTCGCGATCATATCTAAGCAAAATCAAAACTCGGATTGAGAGTGCAATAGAGAATGTTACAAGATGGTCTACTTGTATACGCTTTGTACTCTTTTATTCAGCTTTCTAAGATTAGACCCATTTTGAAATAATTGTGAAACAAGAAGTTCTGGGAAGAACTGATCGCCTACTTCCCTTTGATACGACTCGGACCGCACAGAAAACGTCTACAACAATTCGTTGTTGCCGCGAGAACATTTTTATCAAGCTGTTACTTAGAGGTTTACGCAGATAGATCCACAGACACACACGTCCAACAGTTCTTCTATACTGGCGTATGTTCATTGTCGCGGGAACGTGTTTACCCAGCCGTTGCCTAGCAACAGAAGGAAGGATACATTTTACCGAGTGTTTGCTTAGCAACGAAAGCGGCATACGCATACAGACACACTAACTGATACGAGGGATTTACGAAATACGCCGTTGAGATGGACTTAGTTACCATACCAAGTTTTGTATAGACTGGCTCAGGCATAACAAGGGGGATTCACAGACACGCAGCCTTTCCGCAGGTACCCAGTTCTAAACCAGGCGTCAGAACGGCTTTATTGACCGACACTCCACACGGTATTCCAGATCCCCACCCCCAGATGTAGGAACAGCAGCGTTAAGTAACCCCCGCTCGAACACTGGAATCCTGAGTTCGAATCCCATTCGTGGCATGGATGTCTGTGTGCGTTTGTTCTGTGTTTGTGTAGCTCTGTGTGTAGTCGCGTCCTCGCGGCGACCTGATCCCCCGTCCAAGGAACTTTACCAACTGCATATAAATTAAGAAACTGAAGAAGGGCCTAGGTACGCAAGGGCTGCAGAGCCGTAGATAGGTTCAGAGGCTGATTACATTAGGGTGTCTTGAGTGAAAGTCATCACGAAAACTGAACAGAAATGTTAATTATTCAAATCTGGCTATTTCTCGCGTTTTCTTCATGAGTCGGCGCTGAAAGCCGCCCACTGTTGCCCATTTGGATGTGTATATCTGGGCAGATTTGTGCAGTGGTAACACTTCGGGCATGCGGTTCGCAGGCACTTGGTTCGACACTCGATCGAACTGGGTGATAAGTGAGTCTGGTTTTATTTTTTCCCCAATCCTCACAGACGAATATGGAAATAAGCCAAGACATTCTCTTACCAAATATGTACTGGCCCGTTCATGGTAATTCTTTGGTAAGCGTAGATGTAAATTTTAACTTTTTACAGTGGCTGAAATGTTTTCGTATAAGAGCAGAGACACTAATGACAGAAACTGTAGCTCAGTTAGTGGGCAGGCAGTGAGTGTGTTGAGAGGCAGTTAATATTTTCTAGTGTATTCGGTTGAACTATTTGCGTACGTTGTATTGTCTCGTGTCCGGGGTTCCATGACGGATAATAATTGGTTCTCGATTGGATGATTCGATTTATTGGCACTTTTTTACAATTACGCTTAATTGTGACAGCTCATAATCAATGACTAAGACTCGCTCCATTCCTTACTGGACTACGAGTGTCTTCCCTTCCACTGTGACTGACTTGGTTCTGTTTTACGAATCGGTCACTTCAGCTTCCGTTGTTCGCTGGTTAGCCCTCCAAAGATATTCAACTACTGAATTCTCTTACGACTAAATCATCGAACTCACGTGAACTGAACTCTTTTATAAGTTCGTGGTGAACGTAATATAAGTCACCATATCTTACAGTTCCTCTGTTATTCTGTTTGTATCTGTTGTCGCAGAAATGTGTGTTAGCGATCTGTTGGCTAGCACTGGACTATTCCGGCTTGTTGTCACGGAAACCTGCGTTAGCGAGCCGTTGGCTAGCACTGGAATATTCCCGCTTGTCACGGAAACGTATGTTTGCATAGCCGTTGGATAGCAATGAACTTTTCCGGCTGTCAGGCGTCATGTCACAATATGGATATTTCTCGATTTGTGCAATAGTACGTGATATTCCAAGGTCAGTGATGCAGGGTTAAATCGCATGATTGGAACAACCGTCCAGGGCCTTACATACAGTTCCTGGGCACACCAGAGCAATCAAGATGTGGAGGCCACTATCACTAACAACAATTTTAGACTATAAAAATTCTTTCTTTAATTTGTTCTTATAATATCTGGATACATAAACCAGTTATTTTTATTTTAGAAAAACAATTAGCGTATTAAAATCTGCGGGATCAGTTTCTGTTTTCAGAGGCCCCGGAGCGCTCGTGCCCCCTCCGCGCCTCTCTCGAATGGCCAGCAAACAGTTCGCATTAAAGCGAGCACTCTTAATTGAAATCGGGTTGCATTACTTGATTGCTTTAAAATGAATTCGCATTTTTTCAACTTTTATATATCGCGGAATACCTGCGACTTGTATTGACACATGTTATACATAATTTGAAATTATGAGACAGGATATGCATGCAGACCTACTTTAATATTATAGTGTTATAATATTTACTTTCAGAATCACTGGGGTTCTGAACTTTGTCCATCTTCCAGTATTCTAGAGAACGTTTCGGAAACTGGATGCGCTTCCGTCCTCAGGTGATGGAGGGAAGACACTATTCAGCTGGGTCCCTTAGAAAAATCCAGTAATTCCGAATGTTATACACCATCGTCAGAACCCCTTTTTCTTTCCCCCTTGGCACTACAGCCCCAGTGGGCCTAGGCCTACCTCCAAGAACTCCGTTCACTTCGGTTTTTCTATATCTTACACATACGGTAGGACTCCTTGGGCGGGTGATCAGTTCGTCGCAAGGCCTCTACCTGTACAGAAACACAGAAAAACGCAAACAAACATCCATGCCATGAGTGGGATTCGAACCCACGATCCCGGCTTCCGAGCGAGCGAAGACAGTGCATAACCCTTTAGAACCCATATTTATCCTGTTCTGAGTCTAATAGAACGTATGAGGTGAGAAACATGGAAATTTCTGCATCGATGAAGTGTCCTCTGCGTACATGGCAACTTCTTTAGTGTCATCGCCTTCAGAGAAATGCCTTCTGTAGATGATTTATGTATTTCTACATGACCATGTTAGGTGGGCACCTTGTCACCACGGCTTGACGCGTCCTCAGGTTGCGGCTGGAGAAGGCGCCCTCCATGTATGGAAGGAAGCTGCGAATATATTGAATAAGCAGTCGCGGACAGCCGACAAGGGGTGGTCCTCCAGTTTTTTGGGTTGGGCGTTTAGTGAGAACAGGGTGCTGAAAATATTTGGACAGAAGAGGGATGAAGTGACAGGAGGTTGGAGAAAACTGAATAATGAGGAGCTTCATAACTTGGACTCTTCTTCAAGTATAATTAGAATGATCAAGTCAAAGAGGATGAGGTGGGCAGAGCATGTAGCACGAATGGGGGGAAGCGGGATGCATATAGGATATTGGTGGGAAATGAGATGGAAAGAGAGCACTGCTAAGACGAAGATGTAGGTGGGTGGACAATATTAAAATGAATCTTAGAGAGATAGAATCGGATGGTATGGATTGGATTGATCTGGCTCAGAATAGGGACCAGTGAGCGCTCTTTTGAACGTGGTAATGAACCTTAGGGTTCTATAAAATGCTGAGAAGTTCTTGAGTGGCTGCACACTTGGCGGCTTCTCAAGAAGAGCTCAGCTCCGCGAGTGAGTGTTTTCTACATGCAACAAATGAACCTCTAAAAATCGCCGGTGCAGCAGTTGTACTAATGAATTATCTCGATCTGTGTTACTTCACTGCCTCAACACAGCTCTCCGTAACATGCTGAACTTGACCCGATTTATCCTATCATCACAGATTGGTGTAAGGAGCCAAAATAAGAACGTTTATCCTGGGTGCAGTTCAGCATAATTATATAAAGCCATATAATGGAACGGCACTAGACGCGAGTGAATGGTTAGTTTCACGCTCTGGCCTCTTTACCCACAAATAAGGAGCCCCACATACCAGTGGGATAGGATCCAGTGTAAGTGCCACAGCCTTTCTGGAGACTATGGAGAAACTAAATTTCTTGCCTTGCAATTAATCGAACAACGATTCCTCAGTCATCCAGCCTGTAACCTAGTCTGTATACTGTCTGACTAAATTTACTGATAACACACAACAAGAACTTCGTTCCACCCACCCCTCTCCATCTGTGTCTAAGCACATATTTATGTTGCTTTGTCAGGTTAGTCCTTGGTGCTCAAGTAGAGATAGTTGACGAAATGTGGACACTTAATTAAAGCTGACTGCCCGATAATATTTCATCACATAAAGCCATAGCGTAGTTGGTTGAGACGCTATGCTACAAGCCAGAATGTCCTGGGTTCAACTCAGTGAGGCCAATGGATTTTTTTTTTCAATTTACCTAATCCTTCCAGCTGCACTATGGCCCTGGGGTCGACTCAGCTTCTAACAGAAATGAGTACCAGGGATATTCTTGGAGGCAAAGGGCGGCCAGTGCGTAAGGCTGACAACCTCACCGCCAACTGTGAGCCGACTGTCTAGAAAATGTAGGATCCTCAACATTTCACAACCCTATGGGCCACCACAGCCTGTTACAGGGATACCTTTACTTTTTTTACTTTACTTTTTATTATAAACTCATTGGACGCTATATAGTATATAAGTATGTGTTCATACAGAGACATTAAGTAACAGCAAAGTCAACTAGCAAGGAATGTGAGCCTGTGTGATATTTGGGTTTTCTAATTATGATTAAGTAACAGCAAAGTCATCTAGCAAGGAATGTGAGCCTGTGTGATATTTGGTTTTTCTAATTATGATGATCCTGCCATTTATTAAATGTTCTTTTCTGTTCCCATTCCAGACAACCGAGACTGAAGCCGTCCGAGAGTATGGAGTAGAAAGACATCTTGGAAAGACCAGCGTAGTGGCAGAGTGGTACAAGCAGAGAACGTGCTTCCTGGTGTCTGAGTAACACAGCAGTATAGTGTAGAGTCCGTTGAATCCGGTTGAGTTCTCTGTCGAGACAATCTAAAGTGAACTCCTCCTCAAGTAGTGTACATTAACAGTCATTCTAGTCCTAGCCAGTGCTTAATTTGTGATGGACTTATGCGTAATAGTCAAATGGGTTATGTCACTGTGTATGGAATAATGTTCTTTTGTTAAAATTACCCGTTTGGCAATGTGACGTGAACGCACAATGCAGCTGGTAAGAAAGACAGCCATTGGACTCTGTTTTGAGCCAATTCGATTGAATTCTCATCTACATAATCTGTAGGCCTATCTGTAAAATTGATCTCAATGTTGCCCTATCATCTCCTAAGTATTACAAACAATCGCTTTCCAAATTGTTTCCCTATCAGCATTCTGTGAGAATTTATGATTTCCCTTGTCCGATATATAGCTACAGAAAAACATCATGAAGTTTTCATTATGTAATACTCCAGGTTTCCCATTCACGCCATCATGTTAACGTCCAAATATTTTTCGCAGCACCCCGTTTTCAGGTATTTGCAATTTATTTTCTTCCATAAAAATAATATTTCATAACCATGAAAAATGGGTGCGAAATGTAAACAAAAAGTCATCTAGTGTCTCATGAAGAAAACTTGGTTACTAAAATAAATTGAATTGATTAATGATAACAACAACAACAACAATAATAATAATAACAACAATAATTTCAAAATTTTAATTTTCTCGTAATCTGATCATAAAGTATAATTTCGTTAATGTTATTAAATATTTAGATTTTTGAAGATTCTTTGCTTATTTTTACCTATTTGTTATATTGTTACTGTGTCGCAGATAAGTTCCTGCTGTTAAAATCATCTCTTAATATGTTCCAATGAGATGGGCATTTTACGATGACGTATTTGACTGTATGTGAACAATAGCGGAAAATGGTTAGTTAACTCTGAGAAGATACATCATGACAAATAGATCACTTTCATATTAAGTTGAGTTGGTTGTGCTCTTGATAATAGGCATAGAATGTTACTTATCTTGAAGAATTATATCTTTGTGGGATATAACGCCTTGTAGCCCAGTGAAAGTCAACTGATTATTCCAAGGAACACTGCTTGAATTTCACTGGGCTACACTGCAGTATATCCCACAAGGCAGAACACTTCATGACCGCCATTGTGAGGATCTGAAAAGCTACATATCTTGGTTTTATGACTTAATTCAATATGTAACTTGCTGTTGCTGACATTAATATCCTGCAATTGTTAACTCGTGTAACTCAGTATCTGCGTTTCCTTGCCTTCTCTCTAAAATCCTGTTGAGAGTGGCACATAAAACAGATCTCATGTCCAGAGACTCTTCTTGTCTTGAGGAAACATTCCGAGCGCGAAGTTGACTGGAAGGTTGCAGCTTCAGAGGGGACAAACGTATGAAGAAGTTGTCAGTATGTATACGCTGTATGTTATAAGTAATATAAATGCTGACATGGCATTAGACAGCAGAAGAACTGAGGCTTGATTCTTGGTAGGGACAAGACATCCAGACTAATTCTGGGGCCCATGCTGCCTCCTATGCAAAGCGTACAGGAAGAGGTGCGACCACGAAATCACAAGTTAAGCAGTGGTCCTAAAACAGTCAACGGAATGAAGCATCTGATAGTGAACTGGTTTAGCAGACAAATAAAGGTCCAATGACACAGTTATCTGTATGCATTGTTGTGTAGAGTAGTAGCTAATATCTCATAAATATGACTGTAGCAATTTGTGTTTAGTGTTCTATGCAGTAGTATCAATTGTTTGTGTTTTGTAACTTATACGTAGCATTACAGACATGTGAATCTGTTTGTGTTATGTACAGTATCATTGTGCAATATTAAATGTTCATCAGTCATATGCGATTATTATTATTTTATCATCATCATCATCATCACCTTTGTTGTCGGCATTAATACACATATTACTGTTATGGACTACACCTAGATGAACAAGATGCATTGGACGCCCAAAGTTATCAGTGTGCTTAAAGGAACAGCCATTTCACAGAGGAATGGAAAGCCAAACGTATATGACTACTACTACTACTACTACTACTACTACTACTACTACTACTACTACTACTGCTGCTGCTGCTGCTGCTGCTGCTGCTGCTGCTGCTGCTGCTGCTGCTGCTGCTACTACTACTACTACTACCACCACCACCACCACTACTACTACTACTAGTACAACAACTAAAACAACAACTACTACTACTAATAGTAGTAGTAGTAGTAGTAGTAGTACTGATAGTTTTAAGTCACTATTACACTCTTTAAATCTTAGTTTGAAATTTGATATTGGTAATATTGCTTACAAGAGGTAGAAAATTTATGGAAACTAATAAAGTGTATTTTCTTCCACACCTCTGCTAGTGATTCTCCAACTTTTGGTGTTTGCAAAACAATTGGGATGTTAATTTTATATATGTATGTCATACTGTAATCACATAGGGAACTCAAATCTATAATGAACATACGCCTACTTGTATATAATGTCATTTATTGTACGAAAATACAACATTATGATAAGAGAAAACGATGTTTTGTTACAGATATCAATTTAAAAGGGTTATACAAATGCAAAGTTTGTTTTATGTAATCTTTCTCTTTAATGCCTCATGGCGCACTTGGCAAAAGGTTTCGGTACACAGGTTGAGAACCGCTGGCCTGAACATACATACTCACATACATACATGTGCACATATTGGAGCGGCAGTTGCTGTAGTGTGAGGTAAGAGAAGTAGTTCTACTGGTAATATTCTTATAGAGTAGAAGGATCAAGTCAGGGAGGATGAAATGGGCAAGGCATGGGGAAGAAGAGGAATACATATATGATATTGGTGAGAAAGCCAGAAAGAAAGAGAACACTAGGAAGACCAAGACATACTTCTGTTAGCAATATTAAAATGGACCTCAGACAGATAGAATGGGATGGTATGGATTGGATTAATCAGACTCAGGGTAGGGACCAGTGGAGGGCTCTTCTGAACACGGTAACGAACCTTTGGGTTCCATAAATGCTGGGAAGTTCTTGAGTATCTGCACAATTGGCGGCTTCTCAGGAAGGGCTCGGCTGCATGAGTGAGTGAGGAAGGAAATTTCAATTTGTTCATGCAGTAACAGTCTTTTCCTGGTCGGAGAGAAGTCAGCACCATCTGGCGTCTCGCTCTATGAACTAGTGCCAGTAAGGTTGCAAAGGAAGAAGTGAAGCTGTCCGTACATCGACTCCCTCCCTATAGTCTGTGATAGATAACAACGTAGTTGAAACTAACACAAGCAATTGAAACAGACTGTATATGCTAAGTTTCCATACCGCAAACTGTTGAGATCCACCTACAAGACTATACCGTGTCACAATCCAGACTTCTAAGACCACGGCCCGAATTTTGATGACCTGTCATCTTTTTTTCCTTCTATCCTATGCGATGCTCTTAAATATATAAATCTCGGATATGAGCTGCTGGTTACAGAAATGTAAATTTTATAGGTAATTTTTGTCATTTTTTTTTACATTTTTAGGTTTAAGGTTATTTTTTGGTAAATTTTTGGGCTTTTAATGGTATTTCTTGTCATGTTTGGCCATTTTATGGAATTTTTCTTCGTACTTTTTCTGAAATGTGAATAATATTGAAGCAAAGTTTCTTTCGCTTTCTCCTAAGCGCTCTCTACAAAGGCCACAGTGCACAATAATAGGTTGTAATCCTGGCCCGTCCTTTCCGTTCGTTTAGCGGAAGTGCTGACAATACATATCATAAAACAGGGTACGGCGATGACTGCTCACACTGCGACTCTTTGTACAAAGCAATTTGCTTAGTTACACATATTTCTAGTCAGAATCTCTTGCTTCATATGACATTGATGTTCAATAAAACTCCTTCTGGCTTCAGTTCCTCGCCCTTGACCGTACAGATAAAGATACAGTTGATGAAAGGTTCTCGGTGAGAAAAGTTCAATTCTGTGTTGGGCTAGAGTGATTAATTTTATCACGATGCCAAAAGCAAAGCCAACTAAATCGTGTCATTTAAAGCCATTGTAGCTGAGTTTGGAGATGATACGTTTTCACCTGACGGTGACATTTTATACTGCAAGATGTGGACATAAAAGTAGCGGCAGAAAAAAGATTCATGGTACAACATATCGGCCGCGACAAGCATATAAGAGCGGTGCAAATTTCGAACAAAAAGAAAGCTGTGCAAATGTTACTGCAGCAGTGTTCATCTGGAGGTGGAAATAAGTCATCGGATTTCTTCGGAGATCTGTGTGATGATCTGGCGTCCGCAAATATTCCGTTTTGGGCTCTGAATAATGGAAAACTGAAAAATTTTCTGGAAGTAAACTGGTCGTTCCATCCCGGATGAATCCACACTCACCTTTCCCAGTGCTGCAACAGTATCCTGGAAATGATTAGGAATAAAGTGCATGGGAAGATTTTCGTTTCCATTGATGAGGCCTGCGATACGGAGGCTCGCTACGTGGCAAACGTCATCATTGGAACCTTGGAAATTGGCGGACCGGGTGAAGTGTTTCTGCGTACGAGTGAGGTGCTAGAATCCGTTAATCATTCCACAATTTGTAAACTCTTCGACAGGTCGATGTTTCTACTGTGGCCAGAGGGTAAGCGACACGATGACGTCTTGCTTTTTGTGACCGATGCAGCCCCATATATTGTAAAAGCAGGCATGTCAATAAAGTCGTTCTATACGAAATTGGTGCACGTTACTTGCCTAGCTCATGCACTGCATAGAGTGACGGAGGAAGTGAGATCAAAATTTCCTCAAGTGGATGCTCTCGTGTCCAGGACGAAGAAGATTTTCGTCAAGACTCCAGCTCGTAAAACGCATTTTAAGTCTATGGCTCCTGGTGTTCCACTGCCCCCGGAACCCGTCATTACAAGGTGGGGAACGTGGATTGATTCTGCAGTTTACGGTTGCGATCATTTTTAGGTAGTGAAGAACACTGTAGACTCAGTGAAGACGGAGGATGCGAGGGCAATTGAAGCTGCTCAGGAACAGTTCTCGTGTATCAAAATGGAAGGACAGCTGGCCTTCATAAAGGCAAATTTCAGTTCCTTGACGGAAGGAATCCAATGCTTGCAGGAGAAAGGAGCAACGCTAGAAGATTCGCTTACTCTGGCCAAAAAAATAGCCAGTGATTTCGATAAAATATTAGGGGAAATTGCTAAAATTGTGTAAAGAAGAATGAAAAGTGTTCTGGATAAAAACTCAGGCTATGAAACATTATGCAGAATTTCTCGAATTCTGTAGGAGAGTCCTTCAGCGCATTCAGTATTGAAGAGGAACGTACTGCTAGTGATTTGGTACACTTCAAGTGCGCTCCGATTGTGTCTGCAGATGTGGAAAGGAGTTTCACCAAGTACAAGAATGTGCTGTCGGACAATAGGCGCTCTTTCACTTTCGAGAATCTCCGCATGTTGACTGTCATCTATTGCAAGCCTGAATGAGGTGGCACTTAAATTTTGGAATACATACCGTATATGTACATTTGATAAGCGTTCTAACACGATAGAAAAAAATCGTATTAAAATATATAGTTTCAAATTCAATCAATATTGCTTAATTGTCAACATAAAAACGAGGACGAACTTAAAAGAGTAAAGATGAGTTCAGTGTTAATAAAGATTAAAGATACATTTTAAAATAATTAGTAGATATTCTGACATATTACATTTTGGGTCATTTTCTCTGGATTTTTTCGGTCATTTTATAGGTCATTCTTTAAATATTTTCAGGTCATCAAAATCCGGGCCCTGGTTATGACACACTAACTGTGCCGCGATATTAATCTTGTTAGTGCTTCCTTAAAGCATGTATGGAATGATAATGGGCCTTAGCATGATGTAATTATAAACGTGTTACTTATCGGGCACTATTAGCACTTAACGAACAGTTGAGTTATTTGGGATTATTGACCATATTTGTAGCAAAATGTAACACCCCAGTCATGCGTTGGCCACACCCATTCATGTCTCCATGACAACCAAAAGGTAGGGGAAGTAAGGTACATAAAGATTCATGTTAAAATCTAACCAGCTACTTTGAAATGCTCTATAGGTATAACGAATACAGTATGAACCCAAACTAACTTTGTGAAATACAAGAATTTAAATCTACTTAAGATTATATTCATATATTGAATATGTGGGAAAATTAATTTTCAGTCATAAAATGTATATGAGCTTAACGGTGTTACACAGATTACAAATCCGTATGTGGGGAAATTTATTTCTGCTGGTGAAATGGTCAGTGTAATTTTGGAAACTTTTGAATTGCCGGACACTTAAAATTTTCGATAGGACTGATCTGTTCACAACCATTAACAGAATACATTAGTGTTCCTATTCAGAACAAAGTCAAAGGGATCTGCAGTAAACCTCATTCTTACCAACTTCTTACAAACGTTGGATTTGAGGTACTCACAGCGGTCAGTATAAAGTGGACTGTTTCAGAATGTGATGTCGTGTAGCTCTGGAGAAGATTAACATCTCGGAGAGAAGTATTGTCTCCGCCCAGGAAGCAAGAAGGTAGCAAACAGAATTTTTCTTTTGGACCATTCTGTATAATTAGCTGATGTGCAGCCACATTTTGGCTAGTCAGTATAATTAGAAGATTTATTGTCCCATTGCAGTCCCAATTTGCAGCAGTACCCAACTGATAGGGAACATCCTTATGATTTCATCTAGTTCGGCGTTGTTGTTCCATGCTTGCTGATTTCTCGCATGCCGTGCTCTTCGATAATGAAGATGTAGGCAATATGTTCCTTCGAAACGTTGGCATATTGCTACCGGACTACATGGTGCTAGACCCTAGAAAACAGAACACTTCATGTAAAGTGTTAT